CTCTGTCCAGCCATTCGAAGCGGTCGGAGAGGACCCCAAGATAATCGCCGGCAGCCTGTCCAAGATGAGCGACGCCGCCGCGGCTTCGACTTCTAGCGTTGCGAGTGGCCCCGAGCGCCAGGAGGAGCCGAATGCGACGGCAAAACGGATTAGTGAGGGGTTCTTGTAGTGCGTCAGCGGTGGCGGGCGTTCGGCCAGGGGCGATGGACTGGCACTGCCTGGGCCTGGGCCTTGACTGGGCTCGTGCAAAACAGCCAGGGAATGGGAATGGTCACCATAAAATCAGCCCCATTCTAGGGTGACCCTTGGCGCCCTCCTAGGACAAAAAACCAGACAGGGCATTGTTCGCGAGCTTGTTTTCCCTGTGGCCGCACGCCTTGCTTGCCCCCCCCCCCCCCCCCGCAAGAACGGACTGGGGGGCGAGAGAGGGCGGCGCGATGGGGGGAAACACGCAGTATAAAAGAGCGCTACAATAACATCTAGGCCCACGGCGGCCAAACATAACCCTAGCGACGACACTCGGTATCGCATAGAATGGGGGAACAAAAACAAAGAATCGGGGCAAGATGTCAAATGAATTAAGTTCTCATGATCTCTCCAACCCGGGGCGACGACCACTTTTTGGGAAAAGCATGGCCCCCCACTCATTGTCCCAAAAAGTGGTCGGTGTATGCTGTCAGGGGGGATGGGTGTCTTCTGGCCGCAGAATGAATGAATGAGCTTGAGAATGGGTGTTGATGTGTGTGAGCATTTGCCTGTTTCTGGGACATTATAATGCATAAAAGATTGGTGCAGCACTTCTGGGAGAGGTGAAACATGCGGTGTCTAGCTGTCTAGGCATCGTTTGCGTGATGTTTACACATCCAGGGTGGAGGCATAGATTTCCACGCCGTGGAAAGGTCCTTGATGGTTTTATATGTTATGCTTATAGTATGAAGAGAAGGATTTCCACGCCGCGGAAATGCCCTTGATGGTTGTATCTGTTATTCATATAGTACGAAGAGAAGGATTTCCACGCCGTGGAAATGCCCTTGATGGTTGCTTATGTTTTTCATATACTACGAAGAGGGATTTCCACGTCGTGGAAATCCACATTGGTGAGATCCCCTTTTTTGGCGTGACAGCGAGTGGTTGAAATTTCCACGGCGTGGAAATGCGCATCTGCGAGAGAGCCATCCAACTCAGGAAGACACCGTCGAACCTTCCACGGGGCGGTGAGCCGCAGTGCCAAAGTGGCAACTTGAGATCAGGGCCCTCCGTAGATCTTGGCCCGGGAACCTTACTTTGGAGCCTGGTTCGCTCGTTTGCGGCCCTGCCTGCCTAGGGCCACGCAGGGTAGATTGCCCTGCGCGGGCGGCGCGGCCCTCGCCCAGACACCAGACGCCCCACCAGCTCGCGCGACCAGATGGATCTTGTTCCTCGGGGGGGGCCAGGCGAGTCCGACCACATCAAGGACATCTACGGCTACGAGAAGACCGACGCTGAGTTGCTCGAGAGTGTGGACCGCGACTACTTAGTTTCGGCTGACATGCAGGTACCCTTGATCTGTAGTAACGGTTCCTGGTCCACGACTCGCCACGCCCTCAACCAGCGGGGCGACGAGGCCCCCGTCCAGCAGCGCCAGAAGTCAATAGAGGAAGTGGGCCTCATTCGCGACGTGCGCGGGGGGCCGTGGCTAGTTCAGGACGCAGACCCTTCGGTGAACGATCGCTTCTCCGCGATCCACTGGGCCACGTTGATCGAAAAATGCCAACGGGCGCACGCCGCGGACAAGGAGCAGAACAACCGCTGCGCCCAGATGGCAGTCTCTGGCGGCCGGACGAAATGCAAGGTGCACAGCCGACGGGCACCGCCAGCCGTTCTCAGTTTGTCGATAGACTTGGGGAACCAATTTAACCAGCAAGCAACGAACATAACGCTGCTAGAGAAGTGGCGCACGGTGGCCCTCGTCGAGCCCAAGTGGCAGCAGCGGAATAAAGCCACGGGCTGGACATCGACCAGTCTTACCCAGAAGCAGATGGACGAGAAGAAGTTCATCTTCGTGAACTCCTTGCACAAGAACCGCTGGACGAGCTACAGATCCCACGAGGTTTCGAATGCGTTCCATCGCGAGGCGCAGGAGGTCAGCTACGAGATTACGCGGGGCGGGAAGACGGTCACAACCACAGTGTGGGATGAGATGGAAAGGTGCATCATGAATACAGCCGATCTGCCCAACATGACAACACTCACCGACGAGAAGGCTATGGTGATTGCCAACGACGCGCTCCGATGCTTGCGACATGACCACCCAGAGAAAGTCGTGCCCATTGTGTCCCTCTGCTTCCCGAAGCTCCCAGTAGCTGAAGCCAAGTGCGTGTGGACACCGAAAGGGCTTCCTCTCTTGCAGTACGTCAGCGTCGCGGCCATCGACAGCATGTTGATGCCCATGAGGGATTCGAAGACAGTATCTGACGCGATCGTCGAGGCGGGCAAGGCAGACGACCCCGAGAAAGCAGCGCCGAAAAAAAACTACTCCTGTCAAGAAGCCTCGTCGCGTTTCACTTCCAGATGAAGCTGCCGACCATCAAGACATGAACTACCTCCGACACCTCGACCAAACCATGGCCTACTTGAGGAAGATCGACCCTTCGCAGAACGACAAGATCGATGCTTGCATGAGCATTGCTTTGTACGCTGGCTTGCATGGCTCCGTGGAATTGGCCAGCAAAGGCGGCGTCAAAAAGTGCAGCGGCTGGAGCCAGATCCGCAGAATGTTCACGGCAGACGTGTACAGGTGCGCGGCGCTGAAGCCGCGGCCATCGGACGCAAACTACAAGGAGCTGAACTTGTCCCAGGTGAGTGTTCCCAGGAGCGGCTCCAGGCACGGCTTCGGGACTCAACTACTGTCACTGTCGCCACTGAAGTCTTGAAGCAAGTTTGCATCTCACGAGAGACTCCGATCATGGGGCAAACGTCTGCGGCTTCAGCTCGGTCTTCTCGGATGTATCGGCTCTCGGAGGCACGCTGGGCAGCGAGGGCGAAACCCTGACCTTGCTTGTGAAGAAAGCAGCAGAGGAGGTCGAGCAGCTGATGCCAAAACAATGGGACGATATTGGGAAGCTGGCGGACGAGCTGGCGTCCATGGACGACGGGCATGCCACGTCGAAGGGCTGCCCTCCCTTTGACGAGCTCCTGGCCAAGAACGTGACGTCGAGCTTCATAGTCGCCATGCGTGCTCACATGCTCTTCCACGTCCTCGGTCCTTAGGGCTGCAGCACTACAACTCCACGCCGCAGCCAGGCACGACTCCCAAGATGCTGCCATACATGTCCTCAGAGATGCACTCCATAGTCAGGGAGCTAGGCGCCAAGTTCGACGCGGGGCCGGCACAGCCGGGGTTTCGGTGCTCGCAGTATTCGGCATGGTTGATGCACAATTTACGCGCGCTGCGCTTGACGCTGATAGGCGGCGGCCGCCGCACTTCCAATTGCCCTGCGTCGCTGGTCCATTGTTTTCCGCCCCACCCACGCAGTGGCACGGTGGGCTGCCATTGGCAATTTTTGTCCGTCCTTACAGGTTTTGGGATGTGGCAGTTCCTATGTTTGCTGGCAGGTTGTGCGATCCGAACGTATTCATGCACTTCATTTCAAATGCTTGATGTATTGGGCGCGGCTGGCGGCGCAGCTTGTGGCACGCCGCGGCTGGCGTCGCCAAGCGTCGTTGGCCTTACCTCATCCATAGGTCCGTAGGTCAACACCTTACCTAGCCGCCTCGCAGGTCCACTGGGTTGGCCACACCAAGAATATGCCTAGCAACATTTTTCATCGCGGCGAACTGACTAACATCGCTCTGGTGATTCAGTGGTCGTAATTCGCCTCGGGCTGTCGCGCTTGATTGTTACTTCGAGTTAAAAAATCGCCTCGCCTTCTGGCCACTGCATGTTTCGTTTGGACTTACAACTTCTCTAACACACCAATCGTTTGCATTCCGCAGTGTACGACGCTTGTACGCTGTGCTATCGACCACGCTCGATCGCAATTATCACTTCCGTCTGCTGACTTAAAACATGCGTGCGTGCGTGCGTGCGTGCGTGCAGGCGTGCATGTGTGTGTGTGAATATGCGTGTGCGTGTGTGTATGTGTGTGTGTGTGTGTGTCGTGTCACCTCACTGCCATCCACGCCCAGATGTGCAACATGGCGGCAAGTGCTGCGGAACACGAGACGATTCTGCAAGGAGGGCCTGGCCGCGACCCCGCGTTTACTTACTACTTCTGCTGACGCCGCCTCGTCGTCGCGCGCGCTCGCTTCCGCAAAAGGGTGTATGTGTGTGTATGTGTGTGGTGAGTGTTTTCATACTCGGAAGAGCCTTCAGCATGCCCCAGAGGCAGCCGCAAGCGTGCCTTCACAGGCGGAACCGCCCCCAGAAAGCTCCAACCACCGCTGTACAGTCGTCGTGCTGCCATACGTACAGACGATTCGGGAAGAACGAATCTGCCTCTCTGGCTACGGCTAGCCTCGGTCAAGAAACGGGCAGGAGCAGAAGGCAACAAAGAACGGGCCAAGAGGAGGAGGGGGAGCAGGCAGCGCAGGCAGCTCGCACCCCTACGGCATGGCAACACAAAGGCGAGCCTGGGCAGCCACACGCGAGGAGCGTTGAAACCTGTACCCTGCTCGAGGGGCGCAGCAGGTCTGTTCGCACCTACGGCTGCGACTCCCCCCTGAGCGCCTCTAAGAACTCCGCGCGCCTACGATCAGGAATTTTTGCTCCGCGTGTCGCGGCGGCGGCCCCGGCGACACGCCATGCCTTGCGAGCGGATAGCGTGCCGCTCCGCCCCGCGGGGCGGGAGGCTCGGAAAGGCTCTCGACGTCGACGCCGGGCGGCCAAGAGGTGGATGGCGTATCGCGGCCGAGGCGTGGTGGGCCGGAACCGGCGGAGCGACGCGCTGTCCAAAAGTTCCCGACCGTGCCTGCCTCCTCCTGGCCCTCCTCGTATCGAGCTCTCCCACTGCGCGGGCGGCCTCTGGCGGATCTCCGTCCTCGCCGTCGTCGCCGCCGTCGATGGCGTCGTCCGAGGAGCGCGCGGCGTCCGCCGCGGAGTCGTGGAGGCGCACGGCCTTGCTGGCGGCCTGCGGCCGGCCGCGTGCAGCCGCGGCGAGGTACGGCCGGGAACTGCTGCTCAGCGTTTCGCCGCGGCGGCCCCGGCGACACGCCATCCCGTACGAACGGATAGCGTGTCTCTCCGCTCCGCGGGGCGGGAGGCTCAGATAGGCTCAGGACGTCAACGCTGGGGGAGAGGCAAACGGATAGCGTGTCGCACTGAAGCGTCGTGGGCCAGAATCGGCGGAACGACACGCTAACCAAAAGGTCCCGCCGCCCATCAAGATCGGCCCGGAACCAGAAGCTGGGAATCCGGGAACCCGGAACAAAGAACCCGGGAACCTGGCTGCCCACCGAAATCGGCCCGGAACTTTCGCCTAATCTTTCAATATCCGCTAGGACCCCTTCAGTGCAAGCACTGATAGGGGAATTTGACCCACTCGGTGAACATGGAGATTTGTCTCGCCAAGAACCCTTCAACACATTCATCAAAATACGACTGCGCAGTGGCCAGATCCGCAGGGATTGAGACTGACGCTCCAGGAATCTAGCGCCGCGGATCATGAATGATCCGTGGCCTTCCCCCGATTTGCGTCGCAGTCTGAGCATGCGCCGTAACATTTTGAACGCCCGCCGCGTCAATTTCAAGAGAGTGTGTTGTGAAATATGCCATTATTGAAGGGGCCCCAGGACACACAAATAAATACACACAAATCAAATAATCCCCCATATTTTCCCATATTTTCTGGGTTTCTGTCTTCCCCCCCACTGCCCATATTTTCCAATTTTTTCTGGGGAATCGACGATTAATTGTGTTTGTGTGTTTTTCCCCTCCTGAATTATGCAGATCCATCGGCTGCACTTGCTGCGGGTCCCCTCGCCCAAGCCTTCAGCTTTGAGGCAGTACTCATAGGCCTTTTCGGAACTCGGCAGCTGCACCACAAGTTTTTCTCGGCAGCGCCTAGCCCATGATCAACTCTGGTTGTCTTATCGCAGTCAGAACTCAGGATAACTCCCAAAGCCTGCCCGTTCTGCACTGAGCTGAAAATGTAGGTCTCGCGGCCATGCGTGATTCATAAATCCTCTGGTCTGCGGTGGCTGAAGTTGTAGGCCTGGTCTGCCGTCACCAATATACTTTCGACGCCCTCCCTCCCTCCCGCCTGGCGAGGAAGGGAGGGGGGGATGGAGAGGGCGGGGGAGAAGGTAGAAGAAGGGGGAGAGGGACAGATTGGGGAAGCGAGCAAGATGCGTACGCCGACGACGACGACGACGACGACGACGCGCGCGCTTCTGGTTGAGTATCGTTTAACCGATCCCCATCCCCACCAGCGTGGGCTGGGCCCCACTGGCCGATTTATCCTCCTAGATGGGGATATAGGCCGTATTCTTCGGGCCTCGAGGGGTACATCCCCAACTGGGGGTGTAATTTGGTGGGGGTCTCGAAGGGGATGAGCATGGGGGTGGGGATCGGTCCAACGATACTGACTGGTAGCCCCCTGACGGCGGACGGCCGTGTCGCGTCCTGGTGGTCAGGCGTGTAGGGCAGCTGCCCCGGCACGGTCTGGACCTGCGGCGCCCGGCTGCGCGCCGCGGTCTGGGCAGGGGTGCTCCCCCTCCTCCTCCTCCTCCTCCTCCTCCTCCTCCTCCTCCTCCTCCTCCTCCTCCTCCTCCTCCTCCTCCTCCTCCCCTTCTTCCGCCCCCCCGCCCCGAGCAGCCGCAACTCGGCGGCGCGCCGAGGGGGGGAGGCGAGAAGGAGCAGGCCTCAGACATCGCCGATCTATCCTCACTCGATGCTGCCCTCGTCCCAGCGTCCGTCCTGCCGAGCGAGCACGCCTGGCGCGGAGCAGGCCTTCTCGGAGGGCGGCGGGGCTTCTTAGAAGCCCTCCAGCCTTCCGAGCCTTCTGAGAAGGCCTGCACCTTCTCACTCCATCCCTGGAGAAGTCGCCGAACAACTATCGGGGAGACGTAAGACGCGGGTTCGGGGGGGGACTCGGGTTGGCCTGACGTGGCCGTGAAGAAGATGACGAGATCCAGTCTGAAATCAGACGCGACCTCACGCTGCAAGCATCCCACGAGAACTGGACCGTAAAAATCCAAGACGGGCTTCTCAAAAGTGCCCCAAGACGGCCCAAGACGCCTCCCAGATTCACAAAAGGCCCCCAAAACGGTTCCAAGAGAGCGCCCAGACGGGGGACCCGAACGGACATTTCGAGCTCTCAGCCCCGAGAAGCTCCCAAGAGGCCCTCCAGGAAGCCCACAGAGGCCCCAAGAGGCTCCCGAGAGGCCCTCTTCGAGCGCTCTTGGGCCGTCTTCGAGCCCTCTTGGACCTCTCTTAGGGCCGTCTCCGGCGCCTCACCAAACGAAAAACGCCGCCCAAATGACCACCGGAGAGCGTCTTATAAGTTTGCACCCCCCACGCCTCGTCCACCCCCCCCAGACTCCCCCCCACATTTGGGCAAAAGCCTTGAGCAGAAATCCTCTCGCTAGCGCTCTTTCCGTCATGCTCGTCTGGTTTACAAACGTATTTCCGTGTTTTTTCTTGGGCCGACCACCCTCCCCCTCGTCGGCAATGCGCTTCTCCCACACTGAGCACTCTTCCTGTTGCGTTGTTATTTCTCCCCAATGACAGAACGCTGTCTCCAGGGTCGGCGGCATCGGCCGTAAGGCCTTCGCAATCCGAGACGGGCTTCTCAAAACGCGCTGGCAAATCCTGGTTCTGGCGAACTCGAATCCTACGTTTCCCCGGAACTGGGAGAGCTGGGCTGTGCCGCCATGCCGCCATTGACCCCGTTGGTCCTGCGCCTCCTGCAGGCTGCAAACTAATGGCATTGGTGCCTCCTGGACGCTGCTATCGCTCCACCTCCGGTCCCAGGTGTGGCCGGCCTGCAACCTCTGCCCGCACGATCAGATTTTTCAATGCGCGGCCGCAAGGGCCCTGACACTCTTCCGTGCGGTAGTCTTTCGCTGTGGACCCATGTCTGACTGCCCTGGGTCCCGGTAACAGGCCTCGGAGACCGAAATCGAGGAGAAACGCCCAGATGGAAAACGTCACGTCGCCGGATCTCTGGGGTCAGGGCAGCGGCTGCGGCTCCACGAGAGGTCTGCGCCCAGGCGAGACCGCAGAGCCAGCCTCGCGCGCGCCCGGCCTCGTGCGCGTGCGCGAGGGCCCAGAGGGCGAGGCGCTGGGCCCAGCAAGCGAGCGGGGGGGCTACGTGATCGGCGCGGCATTGCCGCCTGCCCGCTTCCCCTCCCCCCTCTGCCCTGCCCTCCGCGCTCTGCCTCCCCTTTCCGCTCCCGCTCCCCTCCCTCCCCCTGCTGCGTCTCTCCTCCATGCCCACCTGCCCCACAGCGCCTTCCTCCCGACCCCATCCCCCACTCCCTCTCGAAGTCTCCCGCTTTTCCGCATCCCTCACGCTCTCCGATTCCTCTCTCCCCCCTCCCTCTCAGCCCTCCCTCCCCCCTGTCTTCTTCCCTTCTCCCCCGAGAGATATCCAAAAGGAACCCGAGGAGCATCCCGCACGCCTCTGAGCAAGGAGCCGGCATGGTGGCTGGCGGGAGGCACCGGCAGAAATTCGGTGGCTGGCGTGCTCCGTCCAGTGTTGCCTCGCACCTACCCTGCCACAGCTTCTCCCCCGAGCGAGTTCCACGCGACGCCTCCAAGCCACGACCGCCACCCGTCGCGCTCGCAGACCCCGCGAGCACATGGGCAAATGCCAGCGATGACGGAACATCGGCCGTGGAATGAGCGAACCGCTTGAACAAGAGCCACCCAGTGGTTGGCGGAGGAGAAGGAGGAGGAGGAGGAGGAGGAGGAGGAGAACGCAGGACGCAGGACGCAGCATAGAACGGCGAAGCATCCGAGAACGCAACGACGACTATATAATACTGGGCGAGGGTGATAAAAGACCAGCCCTCAAGGAAAACCAAGCAAATTACGGATTAGACTGGACGAGCCTGATCCCAGTTGCTGGATGCCTGCCTTCCGAGAGCCAGTCCCTGGCTCGCCGGCGGGCAGGGTTAGGGGGCTTCGTGGGGCAGGGCTCACCGAGGGCCTGGATCTTGGCCGAGCCCAGGGCAACTCGGGCCCCGCAAAGCCCACAGAACAGAAGGACCCTGCCCTGTGAATGTGGTGCCCGTCGCACACGAGAAGACTCCCACCCGCCTCCGCACCCAAACTGGCAGCAGCAGCGGCATAGGCAGCCTCACCCTCCCCCTCGGCATGCTGGCGCCAACCGAGCCGCTCGGCAAGAGCAGCAAGCTGGCGCAGCATCGGCCAGCCCCTGGCTTGTGCAACGACTTGGCACTGGCTGGAGTCCGAGCAACCGCCAAACATTGCCTGCACTGCAACGCCGAGGATCCTGGAGCCAGGGGCGCGGCATCGTGGGCGACAACTACCAGCCTCGGCCTTGCCTCCTTGGGCGGCCGTGGAGAGGCTGGGGCAGCACCAGAAACATCTGGCCGAGCACAAATAATCTGAACCGCTCGGGCCAGAAACTGGCATGACAACTTGCACTCTTTAATGGCCTCCTGGAGGGACGTGGCTGCAACGTCGGCAACGGCAACATCAAGGGCTCCAAGCTTGGCGAAAAAATCCGCCCATGCATTACCCATGAACCTCCAAATTTCTCCGGCACACGCTCCTTGCTCGATTAACCCCTGCAAACAGAAGTGCGCAGGAGTCCAGTGGAACTCGGGGCGCATATCATGGCGAGCACAAGCGCGAAATATATTGCGCCAAATTGACGCGTGCGGGGCAAGGCCATGCTCCAGGTTGGGATCCCAACCTCGCCCCTCGTACACAAACGAAAGGTGATCACTAATTATGACGGGAGGCTTGTCTCCAGCAGGCCCCAAGGAAACAGCATCGAGCACAGCCCACCTTTCGGACCGCGGGACCGACTGGAAGCGCCCTGGGAGCCCGCCAAACCTGGCCCTCAAGGGCCAGCCGTCGTCGGAGATCTCGACCACGCTCCAGCCACATCGAGTGGATTCGGGAACCGCACTGTGCAGCCCCGACGCGTCAGTGAACCTATACCTACCCCAGGGACCGTCCGCGAGACCCCAGGTGCGCACTGGCGGCCGAGCTAGGGGAGGGGGCAGTTGGATGGGGAGCGAAGGGAGCCCGTAGAGGAGAGGAACGCGATCCCAATCAGGAGGACCGACGTTGAAATCGTACCCTTTCTCCCGCAAGGCCTGCCTACGCTCCCAAACATCTTCGGGAAAACCTAAGCTGACCGCATCCTCCTCCCCACGCACGAAGGCACTTGAGCAATCGTAAAGTTGGTGGCCCCATGTGCCCTGGGGGCCTGGCAGAAAGTGCAAGCAGCGGACGCGGCCAACCCTTCCGCATGCTTGCGGGCTGGTGGCCACAATCCTCCAGACCAGAGCGCGCGGAACGACCCCTGCCGGGCACCCGCGGGGAGGGCCAGAATCACAAGGCGCATCGCTCGAGCCCAACAGTACTCGGAGCCCGACGCTTCTGGCCAGTGGAAGGGGACCTTGCGCCAGAGCCAACGCTCCACACCATCGCGCAACAAATTGCGGACCTGGCTCGCCGAATATTCATACAGCGAAATATGGTCTCCGAGGTTGGAGGTGAGAAGGTGGGGAGCGGCCATGTTCCACCCAATCCTGCGAAGGGAGAACACCGCAGAAATCGGCCCAAAGCATTGCCTCCAGGTACCCTGGGCTCCGAGCTTATCACGGATTGTGCTCCAAGCCATCCTGAACATACTAGGGGAAATCCTACCATCCCAAAGCCAAAACGCATACGTGGCGACCAGGGGGCATGTGGCGTCAAACGTGGGATCATACAGCCTGTCCTTCTGCGTAAACGTGTGAGGGAGGCCAGGCCACGCCTAGCGCCTACCAGCTCCCCTGCAAAAGAACGGAGGTTCATGAGAGTGGAATCCGTGAGGCGTACTACACCAACCCCACGGCTACCCGACGGCAAAATCCCCGTGCGCCACAGAACCCTGACCTGCAGACCCCCAGCCCCCTTGAGGGCGCGAAGCCGGCCCCGCCTCCCAAGCACCGCCCCCAACCTCTTCCTCTCAAGGGCTCTGTGGGCGGTGCCTCCAGCAAAGATGTCGTGGCCAAGATTTCGCGCGGCCCGAAATTCCTGGAGTTTCAGCCTTGCCGCTCTCGACTTCACAGCACGAGCTGCTGCCGTCGAAAACGCAAGATAACCATATTTGGAGGCCTGCAGCAGAAAAACCTAGCTGGCGGGCATAGCTGGCGAAAACCGTGACCGCATTCAAAACGACCCCAGCGTGCTTGGCCAGGCGTCCTATCCAATGAAACGACACATCATCCATGAGACCTCGGGGAACCACAAACTCGAACCCCCTCTTAAGCCTTGGAGAGGCCGAAGGAGGAGGACCTGCATGAGGGTGGTGGCGTGCGAGCAGCCCGCCAACATCCCCTGGAAATACGTGTAGGAACGACAAAGGGAATTAAATCCTTTGATGCGCCGAGACTGCTGATAGTTACACACCAACATCCACGCTAGACGCAAAAAATGTCCAGAAGCAGCAGCCTCGGTCATCACATCACTAAGCAAGACAA